CTTCAAGGTCACGCTCTCCGCCCTCGACGTCATCGAGACGCTCGTCGAACGACTGAAGGGCGCGCTAACAATCAATCTCGACGTTCTGGTCGCCATCCTCGCCAAACGCCTCGGTAGTCATGGCAACGACAGCCCTAACAATCTCTGACCCCTTTCTCCCGCAGGCGACTCGCGCACAGTGATCCGCGACTCCGTGATCCGCGTGCTGCACGCGGCCATGATGCACGCGTTCCCGCCGCAGCAGCTCCTGGACCTCCTTCTGCTCCACAAACCGTCGAAGAACCCGAAAGTGCGCGAAGAGGTGGTCAACAGGGTGACGGCCGCCGTCCTGACGTTCCCGCGCTCCGAGTTCAATCTGGCCAAACTGTGCTTCTCTGTGGCGCCACTTCTCACCGACAGCCGGCGCTGCGTGCGTTTGGCCTCTTTGGAGTGTTTGGCGGTTCTCGCGCAGGCTTTGGGGCCCAACCGCTTGGCGTCGCTGATGGCGGCCGTGGAGGCGATCGAGCAGAACGTGGCGATCGACGGTCTGGTCAACGCTCTGCACGCGCGCCTCGCCAGACGACAACTGCCGCGCTGTGGCGCCGACGGCACCGTTCGCTACGTCCTCAACCCGCAGCACTTCTCCGGTTGGTTCACGTCGGGCGCAGACGCAGACCTCGAGTGGGTGATGCTGGCCACGCCCTCCTCCACGGGGGGAACGCCCCCTAAAAGGGCGAACGGGAGTTCCGGCATTCCTTTGGCGGCGATTCCGTTCGACAGACGGAAGAGCAACGCTTTGAACGCCGAGTTGGAGAGCGAGGCGACGGACGACGATGCGGCCATCGTGGAGGCCATCGGGCGGCGGAAGTCGTTGGCCGAAGTGAACATCGAACAGCTGTTGTCGTCTGGCGTCGAGTCCTCAGCCAATGAGCGCGCGTTCGTCGACTTTCGCGGAGAATCCTTCCAATCGGACGAGAATTGCGAGCATTTGGAGAGCGCGAACGAAACAGAGAGTAATTGTCGCGAGAGTTGAATTCAAATGTTTGAAAGCTGTCTTCCCATAGGTTTAGAGCAATGGCGCGAATATTTCAGCGAATTCAGAGCACAGTTGGCGGAAGTGGCGATCTTTGGGCGAAACGAGAGTAAAAGTCAACGACTTTTGAACGACTTTCGAGCGAACGAACGAATTATTGAGAGATCGTGACTGAGTTTCTGATAATTCCAGAGTTTGCATCATTGGTCGTCATGACAACCCATCGATCTCTTTGACCCTTTTTTCTCCCATTAGAAAAGCGCAGAAACTCCGAACTTCCGGTTCAACCGCTGTTCGCACAAGAAGTGGACGGATTCCGCGCCGAATCGCCCGTCCAGTCGTCGTCGGCGCCGTCGACCGCGTCCAACGACGCGCCCTTCTTCGCGCCCGACGTCACGACTCTGATCGAGGTTTGCATTCCCGATTGGTTCATTGATAATCACGTGATCTCTTGCAGAATCGCTTCGAACCAATCGAAAGATCGCTTTCTTTGCCTTCGATTCAAAACGAGATTCAAATCGAAGAACAAAAAGAAGAGGA